GGCTCCGGTGGCTTAATGGTTAGAGCGTTCGCCTCGGATGCGGGAGTAACGGGTTCAAATTCCGGTCGAGTCATACCAAAGACTTATAAAAATGGTACTTACAGTCGCATCGTAAGGCGCTCAGAATTAAGAGGTTGGTCGGCCTGGTGTCAGGATAATGTGACTGGGTGGGGCATGATACTACATGTCTGATACAAGATGCCCCATTGCTAGACATCGTGGCGATATGATAAAAACTTGTTAAATCTACTTCAAACACACACACACACACACACACACACACACACACACATACACTGAACTATATCTTCGAATGTTTCATTAAATTTACAACGTCCTGAAACATACTTTTGCAATTACTATGTTTTATCTTTTCTGGTAGGAAAATGTCAATTTTAATTGTAAATCTATTCTATTTACCGCTCTCAAATCTCCTAAAGGTCAATTAAAGGTTTCCGTAGCAGGTAGGAAGCAGGTACATGTAGACTAAGCGTTTGCAGTATAATTGATAGGCAGACTTGGCTAAGCAACTTTATATTAGAATAATATTTATTTTGAGCTTATTTTGTACGGTGTTGACTGTAGTGAGATAAATAGTGCAATATGCATTAACGAGCCCACTGACCTGATAGTCATGCTAACGCATTAAACACAACATATTCAGGACTATTTACCCTTTGTTGTGTCTTTAGTTTTATTTGTTTTTAGATGGTAACGAGTACTTCTGATCATCCCAGTTTCAGTGTAAATATGTACACACGCTATAGAATACCTGGAGAAACAAATCTTTCCCTTATACAATTATTTTCTCTATCTTCTTTAAATTAAGAAGGAGAAGTTTCAGAGTGTGGAGGTGATGGCGTGGAGACTGCCCTTTTCCATTACAAAAAATAGCACAAACCAACAAGAACGTTTACTAGAGGAAGATTTCATCACATTTATTAGATGCCTAAAATTGTGCATTGGAAGTATTAAAAGTGCACAGACCCCTCAGCCTACTCACTTTGCCTCCTCCCCCACCCCTAATTTCTGGATCAGGCCCTGGTATATGCACACATGTATTTTCTCACAATTGAATGATACAGTTCTATCATGTAATCATGTGTAATAAGAATTCTATCAAATCAAATTACATTTAAAAGTGGGGCCCCTAGTGGCCGAGTGGTCTAAAGCGCTGTCCGTTGCGGATCACTGCCATCTCACCTCTTTCTGTGTGTGTTCGAGTCTAGGATTCGGCGAATGTGGATATGTGAGAAAGCTTGCCAGTAGCTTCTCGTGGGTCGGTGGTTCTTTCCAGTGAGTTCTCGGTTTCTTCCTCCACCATTAATACTAGCCGCCAGAATAGCCTATCGTGTGCTGAAAAATGCAGTTAAGCACAACAACAACAACATTTAAAAGTGTTGCATATATGTTATCAAATCGTCTATAAGTATGACTTATGGAGCGCGTCTATAGTTAGTGTCGACCTGCATTCAAGCATCACATTTTCAATCTTTGTGAGTTGGTAATGTTTATGCTGCGTTTTGAAAGATACCCAGTTAATCAGCAGATAATTTTCTATAAGCTCCATACCAACGATTTTTGTAGGAGCAAAAATGTGCTGAAGATATTACATGCATATTCTTTATCTCGTCGCATTTCTATGGATATTCGCTCTTTAATGATGAAGGATGAATTCCCCAATATTATCCATTTGTATTAAAAACAGTGAAAGCTGTTTTATCTCAGCTATATTTGCTTATTTTAGGATCATCTTTCGACCGACCTTTACGTATACAATGAAAACATTTATCAAACATATATAGCATGTTACATATTGAAGGGCTGTATGCAGCAGTATTTAGACATTTTATACCAGAAGCGTCACTGGAAATTTAGAGATAAATACTGCATGGAACTCATTCACTAAAGGCCTGAACAGACAGTTTGTATGTTGCCCTGACGGTTAAGTATCATCGTTTGAAACGATCTGCACTATTAAGCTATCTCTAACTGTCAGAGAAGGAAGTTAATAATATAGACGGAGGGATATACTTTCAGGCCATTGTTTCTTTAATGGATGCTAAGTGTTTTCAGCTGGCGGGATATGGAGAGAATAAGTTATTTCTTCATGAATGAACGTCGACTGATTGTTACGTAACGAAGATGACGTCACTGATAAAATGATGGCTATTATTCTGTGGAAGCAAAGACAGGTTTTTCTCTGTGGTTGACGAGAGGGAGAGATCCGATCCCTCCATCATAAAATTTTACTCCACATTTCTTGTAATAAATATTACTTCAGATTTGGAAATCATACTCCAAAATGCACAAATAAATGCATCTTTATAATTATTGTAATATTTTGAAATCATATTTGGAGTCGAGGGATGTTTGACTGGTTTCGGAGCCGTATCCTTCCATGTTTAAATTTCATGCCTGATTTCCTTTTGGACGGACTCCTCGGCCGATAGATACGGTAATGTTTCTTATATAATTGTAGCTTATCATAGGATTGGTCGTGATCACATTAGAAGAGGAAACAAGTACTTATAATTACTTAGGTTAGATGGAACTTTGAGATTACTATTTTTGGAAAAACCCCAAAGTAGCTCACATGCATTTTTTCCATTTTCCTTTTAACTTTCTTTTTCTCTTTCGCTTTTGACTTTAATAAGTCCCACCTACCGCATCTTAAAGATGTAGTCACATTAGCTTTCATTTCCTTGTGCAAGATATTCTCTCTCTCTCTCTCTCTCTCTCTCTCTCTCTCTCTCTCTCTCTCTCTCTCTCTCTCTCTCTCTCTCTCTCTCTCTCTCGGTTGCTCTGTCACTTCTGATATGTCTGTATGTTTATTTATGCTGATCTCTTTGAGACCTTTGTCCCAGTTTATTTAATGCATTATTTCTCTATCTGTCAATACTTGCTCCTCTCCGTCAACAGTTGCCTCTCCTGCTTGTATTTATTTTAGGAATATTTCTGCTGACCAGATGTAATTTTGTCTAAGTGGCTTAATTAATATGTAATGATATTTTCTTTCGTACGAATTTACTTCTGGGTTCTTGTTTGTACGTGTTGGAGAGCTTACATCGTGTTTAGCAGAGTAAAATGACAACAGCGTGTATGAAGTAGTCAATCAATGCGGATAATGAAATATGCTATTGCTAGGTTGCATAAATGTATTTTTCTTTCAGGATACAGCACCAATAGGACTCCATCAAATAATCTGCAGACGGATGTTCAAAACACTAAAGCGCCTCCACCCAAACAGTTATTATACATAGCTTGATGCAATTATTCGGTTCTGGTTAACTATTTATAGTTAGCCATGTCACGTGATTGACTTGGGTCATGTGATTCTGACGGTGTTTTCAGCATCATAATGAGACGTGCCGATTGCATAATGTAGTTTAGATTTTGGAAATTCCAGGAACGTGACAAACGCACAAATTTACGATTTTCTTTGCATGGATAATCTTTGGTGGTCATCTTCTTTGTATGAGTAATTCAGTAATTGTTAATTCGTTTCTTGATACTGCTGACCACGGATGGATTTCCGGATTACATGCTGTATCAGTCTCACTGGAACCTGAAGAAAGGTGGAAAAAGTTCAATAAATACATAGTAGTGATTTCTTTCAACGATGTGGAGGTATTTATAACTGTTTATAAGATTGTATCTTATTTTCTTTTACGACGAATAACAGAAATCATTTTCAAATGACCAGATATCAGTATGGAATTGATTCACTTAATTTCAAAGGGGTATGTTAGCGAATTTAAGACGAATTCAGCGACAAAAGATATTGTCTGACAAAATAATTGACCAAGTCTCACAAAAGGAGAGACACCATGCCACTGGATGAAGGCGACTGTGCCGCAACCTACAAGATTTTGATTTTAGGGGACGCTTCTGTTGGGAAATCGTCCATACTGCGCTGTTTGACAGGGCAAGAGTTCAAAGACCAGCTCTACCCGACTATAAGTAAGTTCATTAACATAAGGGGTAAATATGGAGTATTGTGAAATCTAAGAAATAACTGAAAGAGGTGGTAAGATCCTAGGAAAAGGGGTGGACGCCTCAGTTAATATGCAGAGACTTATATGCCTACTGCAAATGGTCCCTCTCTTCCAAAAGTCAATTAACTTTTCACACTGATGGAAAAAAAAACCAAACACCAACATATAAACCAAAATGATTAGAATTATGATTTGGTAATCAATATGCCAAGCATATAATTCATTGTACTCTTTTAGTATGTTTATGAAGAAAAGTTTCTAAAATATGTATTGGGCAGTATTGAAACAAAAAAAGTGTACTTGTGACGTTATACATGTCAACAAACCCTAAAAGGCGCGTTCTCTGATTGAATGGAATGTGGGTAAACTCGATGACTGTTGTCCAGTCAAATCACTTAATTTTACGATTAAACAAGAACGTATTGGGTATCCGTTGTTTTCACGTGACGTCACAAAACGTGTGTACTTCCATATCCGCCATTTTGAGTCTCGAATTAGTACTTACAAACATTGTTATGCCCATATAATTATCAAGGCAGGTCTCATATTGTGCGTAAGGATATAATAATGCATCATATTCTGTTCTGCACATAAACCGCACGAGACCGGATGCTTGACTTTCCCCTTTTTCTTCAAGTAAAACATTAACATTTGAACCATCTTTGTTATTCTTTCATAAATAAATAGATCAATCAGTAAACAGACGCATAACCAAATCGATACACAAATGTATAGAATCATGTAATGGTTCTCAATTTACATTGGCTGAAATCAATCATTTCGTTATAATTCAAGTTAAAAAAACAATAGTCAATATATAATTTCATATTTTTTAAAGCATTTCAAGAATAATCGGTTATGACGTTCTGTCATGTTCCGTTAGGCAAATGTTTCGTTTTAATACACTAAAGATGAAACTTCTTTGAACCGTTATCGCTTCTGTTCAATATAATCCTACGTCCATCATAACCACCACAAATACAATATTTGACCGTACTAACTAAAATTTTTTTTTTCAGCTGTCTTTGGCACAAACACATGTTTTCGCGAAAAGTTAAAGTTCTGTCACAATACA